ACTATATTAGTAATATACTAATATATATATATATATATATATTATATTTATATAATATAAGTTATACAATTAATATAATATATTATTTATATATATTAATATTAGGGATGTCAAACTGGCCCGTCGTTCACGAACAACTCGCGTTAGACTCGTTCGTTAAGAAACGAACACGAAAAGTGACTTCACGAATAATTTGAACACGAGTTTATTTCAAACAAACTAAATTTCAAACGAACCGAACACGAACACAAGCTCTGTTCGTTCGTGTTCGGTTCGTTTACACCCCTACATACCATCTAATTTCTATATATTTAATATCTAACACCTAAACTATCTTTTGCCCAAACATCTCATATCACAACTAATTTAATTTTTAATTAGCTTTTAGTAGTATTTTATATAAATTAAATTATATTTTTAATTATAAATTCTATTCGGCTTTCCACTCAATCCTATTTAATGCTTTATAATATTAATAGAACATTAATTTATTTTTTATGCATTTTAAAATATATTATTATTAAATAGTATTATAAACAAAGATACTTGTGGCGTATACATTTAAATATATTCATAATTCTAAGTATGATGGGTTTAAAAATATTAAAGAAATTTCATTTTATAATATCTAATAAAATAATTATAGTGTTAATAGTAAAATAATTGTACAATTGTTTCAAGTAATAATTTTTATATTATTTTGTAAGCATATGATCATCAATTTTATAGTAAAAATTTTAAAAATAAAAATAAATAATAAAAATTATAAAGCCTATTTTTTAAATTATTAATTTATGCCCCAATAAAATCAATAATATAAATGCATGATTTGGCTCCCTATGAAATTGATATGAAATATAATAAATATATATATAAATAAATATATATAAAAAAATATATATAATAAATTAAGAAGCTTGTAATATTGTTCAATTTAGCAAAGATAATGAAATATAAAATTTTATTTTGAATAATGTGCTATTTTTTTTGTAAATTAATTTATTTTTATAAAAAATTGCTCACCCTGAAAAAGTAGGATAATTAATCATGGGTACAATATAAAAGCCACCAAGCTTCTGGCAGAACCTGACATAGACTCCAATGTACATTGTCAAAGAAACCACTTCAATGGCTAATAAGGGCAAGAGATCTCGATAGCTATTGCTTCAAGTAGGAGGAGAATAAGGAGAGGACGATTTATATACATACCACTCAATGGCTATGTATTTGCATTACTAACAACAAAATTTCTATTCTTACATCTATGTTATCTTTCGTATGTATGAAAATGTGTATTTCATTTTTTGAAAGTAAAACAATAGAATTTTTCGTGATACACAAATTTTGAGTTCTATAAATATAAAAAGTGTGAATACCTAGAAATTGGTTGGTATGTATGTAAACTGCCCAAGTAAAAAAAAAAAACTATTTTTATAAAATGATCTTTCAATTTTCACAAATTAATATTGTGAATAAATGACTTTTTTATATATATAAGATAATGGATTTAAAGAGTGGGAACAAGGGTATGCACCAATATTTTTGTATGATTGACAAATATCAACATAATTGACATCCTTTAAAGCACATATACCATCAGTACATTTTAACTTGAGGAGCTTCACCTAAAATTAGGAGGTGACCAAATTGCATTATCATTTGTAACATATGAAGTGCATGACAATGGAACAAGACAAAGTCCTCTGCTTCTTAGATCAGGCTTTGAGCCATCTCTTTCATTTGAAGTTGAAACCTGCATTCCAAGAAAATATTGTTGCCTAACACTTCAAAACTTTTAAGCTTTAGTTATGCGCAAAGTACTCTAAAATAAGAAAATATTGTTGCCTACCAAAGCATATAACAAATGGATGTGTCAAGAAATTTTAAGCGTGGCAAACAATGTCTTCTACATTGTACCGCTTTTGTGTTTCGTAAAAATTGATAATATTGACCCACTCTTGTTATGCAAATATTGGTTCTACAATGTTGAAATGCAACTTTAGAATCATGTCTAGTTAATTGGTAAGTAAATAGCTAGTATGGTTGCCACTATCCTTGCCATAAAATCCATATTGAATCTATAAGGCTGGATAAAAAAGAATTGGAGTCATACTGGAAGTTAGCTTTTATTTTTTGTGAGAAGTTATAATGGAGATAGTGATAACTACACCATGGAGTTACTGTGAAAATTGATGATGGTTTGTACACATATAATGATGCTTAACAAATATGCTTAATTGTTGTTAACATCAATGGCGTAAGAAGCATTGTTCTATACAAACTACATGGTCAAAAGGAAATCAACAAAAAGAAGAAACATTTGTGATGAAAAGTTTAAGTATTTAACAAAAAATTATTTAATTTTTGTAAATAAAATGTACAATGATATTATTATTCCCAGTAAAAAAAATGTACAAATACCTTTTATCTCCAAATGAAAATTTATTCATGATATTATGGGAGGAATAGGAAAAATAATATAACGTGCTCCCAATGATAATAGGGGAATGTCAAAGCTCTACACACATTGAACAATGAAATAAGAATCCCTAACATATAAGGTTTATAAGACCATTAAACGCCTTTAAGAGATATGGGTTAAGGAATGTTATGAACTTAATACAAAAGATTGGGAAACTAAGAAGAGGATAAATCAATGGAAGATTTGGTTTTGATGAGGCCTAAATGCATTAGAAAGGGCAATCATCTTCTAAAGCATTTCAATGAACTTCATCTATGTGAAATCCTTGTTGTTGCAATATTTTACTACAAAATTTTCTAAATAAATGTTTAAACAAATCTACAGAGGTGCTCTTTATAGAGGTGCGCTTCTAAAGCATTTCAATGTAATAGAGGTGCTCTTTATTATGCATGGTTTAACTCTTCAAATAATGACTAAGCATTTTAATAGTGATTTGGTGGAAATTGTGCTTATTATTTTATTGTCAATATAAAATAAATAATGAAAGTGGAGTATCACAAATAATTATTCTAATTATGATTTTTAATAGACATGGAAGCTAATGTCAAGGTTATTGTAAGAAGCCAATTTACCATACCCATGGTACTAAATATGCATAAATTAGATAAATGTAATAATGACTAACTATGTTTGAGTTAAGAATTATTATTGAGCATTAAGATACTAAGGATATGTTGTTGGAGGTGGAAGAAAAAATGAATCTATTACTCAAAAAACATTTTAGCTACAAAAAAGTTGTCTGACAACCTAGAAATTATGACACTTCAAATATTGGTCGACTTTGAAATTAAAGTAAACATATCAAATTTTGAAGAAAGAACAATTCAACCAAAATCATCAATTAGTTGTGCATAATTGACTAAATTCTTAACAACAATATGTCCAAAGAATGTATGTCAAGTTAGTAGTAATTAAAGTATGGAACACTATCATTAGGGTGAAAAGTAAGAAGTAAACTTACAATCAAGAAGACCAAAGCAAGATAACCACTTTGCAAATAAATGAAGGACGATTTGTAGCAAAAATACTTAATATATTTTTATTATCAAGATGCATATTTTGAATATTTAAAATCTTCAATAAAAAGATCCGACTATGACAAAATATGTCACTAATTTCACATAGCTTATGCTAAAATACAAACTTAATGAGCCAAAAAGAATAATAAAGTATTATTTCCTGGAGAGTTGCACACTTCCATTATGATTATCATAGCATTAGAAGTATTTCTCAAGTGGAAAAACTATTCATAGTGATTAAAGGTTGTAATTTAAGCAAAATAACCAAAACTATTCTCCAATTTAAATTTTATTTTGTGTTACAATTTTGGTCATATTGAATCAAACTATCCCAGTTACAAGAAAATTTTCCTTCTTAAATAATTCACAAAGAATTTGATGAAAAATGTAAGAAATGGAGTGAATAGTAACTTTATGTAGAAGATGGACAATTGTTGGTTTCTAGTTGAATCTAGAATACCAATCATGACAAAGAATATGAGTAGCTTTGCCAAAAATGTTCCATAATCAATGCACAAACCATAGTAAAGTTTAATTAGGTTTTTGAATTTGAAAATGGGGTGGTCAATGTGGGAATTGGAGTCAACTGGTTCATTTTATCACATTTTTCATTAGGAAACTAAACAAATCTTTAAGAAAATATTTTGCCTACAATAAAATATTTTTTGCATTGTGTGAGTTCTAAATAATTAAAGTCACAACATATTGGCTAATGAGTTTTTTCTTAAGATCATGAGGCATTTGAATAACTCTATTATCCAAATAAATTAAAGGTAAGGGATGCACTAGGGTTTAATACATTTTTTTTAACTCTATTATCCAAATAAATTAAAGGTAAGGGATGCCACTAGGGTTTAATACATTTTTTTTTTATTTTTTCACAATATTTTTAATTATAAATTGAGCTACTTAATCATCTACCAATCATACTAATTATGTGGAAATTTTTATTGCATTCATTATAATCCAAATTATATGAATTTGAAATACTAAATTATATATATATATATATATATGGTCATGTACCTA